CATTATATAAGTTTAATCATCTTATACCTCCTATAACGGTAGGTTTTGGATTTTTCCTGATTGGTTTGTTAAACAAAAATATACAGGGCATATAAATGTCTGTTACAAGAAATATGTTACACACATATTATTTTAATAATAATAGTATAATAGTAATGGCTATATTATGTTATAACACATACATATGTATTGAATGTACTTATTTTAAACAATGCATTGTTTTGTTTCTTAATCTCACAAATAAGAAATGTTTTATAGTTTTTATTATAAAAAACAGTGATTATACAATTTATTTACACCCCTTACACTGTTTTCTGTACGTGGTGTAACCAGGAGTATATTTCGTAACCTCTTACGATATAAGAGGGCACAAAGTGTTTTATTACTTAATGCTTAGATTAAAATTTAATAATATATTTGTACATAAAATAAAATAGACTAAAATGTCAATTAATTAATATTGACGTAATTACTAAATAAGTACAAGATTTTTTTTCTAATTATTTTAGTGTATTTTTAGTCACCTAATTATAAAGGAGAGATATCCAACCATTGCATTATTTTACTCACAAATAAATGTTTTATGGTTTTTATTATAAAACAAGGATTAATTTATTATACACCCCTTAACCCAAACATTCCAAGGAGCATATTTCGTGACCTCTTATTTAAAGTGGACAAGCTTTATTAGTCAATGTTTTAATTACCCAGCGTCTTTAATAAAAATCTAATGTAATTTTTCATAGAAATGATCTGACATAAAAAGCAAATTTTATCAAAAAACTTTTTGATTATCTACAAGGAGTAAACCGCTTACAAATGTCTATGCTAATGCCAAAGTAACGCCAAAAACACAAATCAAATACCAAAATTTCTCAAATAATGCCCCACTAATGCTGATTCCAATATAATACCACTAATACCACGAATAATATGTAACACACTTGTTTAACGAATTAACCTGTAACAATAGTGGTAGGTACGTGCACAGATTTTTTCCTAGGTAACTTAAAAGTCGTTAAAAAGTCTAATTATATTTAAAGAAGATATAATTCCAACAAATTGCATTATAAGGCCAATAATGCACAAGTAATACCATTAAAATTTTAGCGTTTTTAATTTGTGTAACATATTTCTTTAACGAATTAACCTGTACAATAGTGGTAGGTACGCGCACAGATTTTTTCGCTAGGTAACTTATCAAGTCGTTAAACAGGCCTATAAAAGCTATAACAACATAGGTAACTAATATTTATAATTTAATTCGAGTTTTAGTCTCAAATAAAAAATGTTTTTACTGGTGTATTTCTGAAGTGTTCATTATTAAAAGTAGATATTCTTCAAGTTATGCGAAGTAATAAGTAATGTTTCCGGTGAGACCGCGTATATTCACCGGATTCTAGTTAGTATAAAGACTTTTTCTATAGAAAGAGTTTTTTCTATATTTTCCTTTCAAAATAAGACTAATTTCTTCTTATTCTTTTAAATATTACAGTGTTTCTTTTTCCTAAAATGTTATACTAAATTTTGGCTTAAAATTAAAAAATCACAAATGGAGGAAAATATACGTTATTGAATAAAGTTTATACAAATCACTTTACCATAACAAAAAACATGTCATGGCGGAAGATATTCAGGTGGCATTTCACACATTTATCTATTAAAATCGAGATTAAAATAATAAACTTGCGTAACATGTTATACACGAGAAAGAAAGTTTCAGAATCGATTAATACTCTTAGAGAGTCTAACTTACTCTCTCTTACTACTTAGTCTCTACTTACTCTCTTAGAGAGTAAAATTATCTCGGAACAGTTTGTTGTATGAAAATTCCTTACTCTTTGGTCTAGAAGAATGAAATCCTACAAAAAGAATTAGAAGAAATTTTCGAAATTCATCAACCAAGCAAATGGGTAAAGTTAGTAAACATTTATATAAAACTTGGTGACCTCTGGATTATACACATAAAAATTGGGACAAAGGTAAAGCGAATTTATGAAATTTATACCCTTAGGGAGTAGAATAAGGAATGAAAGTTTGCTGTACGAAAATGCAATACTATAACATTATAAACCAGACAGTATAAAATTTTATACTTAGAGTATTAGTGCTCTTAATAAATAAAAAAAAGATGAAAAATAAAAAAACATCTATGCTCGCTAGCTCTCTATAAAGAAGTAAAAAATAATTTAAATTAATGCATGAACGATTCGAGGTGTAACGCGAACGTAGTCGCGGGAACAAGCTAGTAATTTATTAAATTATTTTATTTAACTCATTAATTTTCATTGAAAAGGAATTTTTGTAATTCGCCACTATATTAGTTAAAAACTAAGAAACTCATATCAAATTTAAGTTTTGCGATTTTGACTTATACTTTTTACAAAATCTGAACACATTTTAAAAAAAAAAAACGTTTTTGATAATATTTGTGTAGATTGACTACAAGTTGTACAACATAAATTTCTACGACCGGTCTACCTAGTGGTCTGCAACATCGCCTTGTGGTGCAAACGTGTTAAAGAGAACTAGTTAAAGGTTCAATACTGTACAATGCCAAAAAAATGTACAATCATCTGTCTTTGAATATCAAGTCGCTTCCATTTTTCCCGCATTTCTCAAAGCTCTAAAATCATACTTACTGGAGAGAGCCCTATATGCGGTAAATGACTTTTTTGTTGATGTTCAATTATGAACAATTTTGAATTTTAAAATTTTGATCATCTTACATACTGGTCAAAGGTCAAGTATTTAATAAATTATAACTCTTAAAATTATATCTATTTACTGCTTACCTGCAATGACTTTTTTTTTTGAATTATATGATTTGTATTGTGTATTTTTTGTTGTTTGTATTTTTTTTTATGCTTTTGTTTGTTTTGTGAGTGCTTTGTCGATGAAGCTGTTTTGGCTTTTTGCACAATAAAGCTTTTGTTTGATTTGTTTGTTTGTTATTATAAAGTTAAAACAAACATTTTATTACATTTTTACTTATTTCATAACTAGAAGCTATACAAAATTACCCAAACAAGTTTTAAATTTTATTACACTTCCAATTCCAACACGCGCAGAACAAAAAAAACAGTTTTAATATCCATAGGCATTTCATTTTGCAGAATAATTATTATGTAAACACTACTAGCTTTTGTAATTTTATTTCGCTTAAAAATCAAATAGGACATAAAGTCAACGCCTACAGGGCAAAAACACACACGCTAATAAAATATAACTTCAAAATTTGCAAAGCATTTTTCAATATCAAAATGTTTAACAACCTCGTGTGTTATTAAAGTAAACACAACATTATAAATAAACATAGTGAGGTCGTGAATGGACTCTGATTCTATTTTAACCATATCTTATAATGGTTTTGATTTATTTTTTTACACATTCAAAACTTCCTATGCCTTCTCTAAACACCATAAAATGACTATTGATGAGCGATATACCTCAGAAACAGCGTTTTTCGTGCAGAAGTTCACGGTATCGTCTGTACACGTTGTTATCGTTGTATTGCCGATGCGGACCTCGATCGATGCGAGTTAGTAGAGAGCGTAGATGTAGATTGTAGATTGTATGGGAGGGGGAAGTTAATCACCTCGACCTTAAAGATCTATTGTGTCCCCCTCTCTTGAGTATAATTCTCAGGGCCTTGACAAAAGACCAAATACTAGCTCCTGTCAAAGCCTGTTACGGTTTTAGAGAGAGAGAGAGAGAGAGAGAGAGAGAGAGATGCTTTACAGAGAGCCCAACGGTTTTACCCTTGATTATGTATAAATAGATGTATAATGAGGGCTTAGTAAATTCCCGTCGTCTAGGTGGCGCCTTGCCCGATCTGCATTTTTGTATTCCCCTACGATTTTCTTTGAGGGGAATCCGTTAAACCACTACACTGCTCAAATATTCGAAGTAAATGTATAAAGAGTCGTATTAACTACTACCAACTATTTATTAAATTATTTACACATAAAATATAAAATAGTCCATGAGAATACATATCCCAATTATATTAGTCTATAACCCAGAGAGCACAAAAGGAACATTTACATTCTAAGAATATTCCTCCTAAGTTCTTATAAGTATATTCTTTTTTTAATAAGTATAGCATATGAATAGTACATTCCACTATGAATGTGATTTAAAGGTATATTATCAGCATGACCTTAGAATGTCTTCCTAAATTATGGTTTACAATAAATTATAAGTATCTGCTATTCACGTTCTAAACATATCAATATCTGAATAAAAATAAAGGACAATAAAAATGATTTCGAAATGAAAAAATAAATACAATACATTATATTTGTATATATTCTTACTATTAAATTTTTGTGTATTAAATAATTATTAGGGACTTTATATATAGTGTTTATATATTAGTGTATATAGATGCACTGTAAACAAATATTCAAGCAAAAATACAGTGCTTCTTATTCTAACAAATAAATAAACCTGTAAAACTGTATAAATAAAAACGATCTTCCACTATGAAATAAAAAAATCGATTATACCAAAAGATAGTTTGATAAAACTATCTTTTGGTCTTATAGATTCTAATCGATTTTTTGGGTAAAAAGATCGATCTTCGATTGAAATCGATTCGAATTGTACATCCATAACATAACCTAACAAAAAAACAACAAGTGAACCATAAACGTAAACGTGCTTCATCCAAGCTATTTTAATAATTAAAACATGTTAAAACATTGAGATAACGTAAAGGTAAGTGATGCAAATAATTATTTTAAGGATAGAATCAGTAAAATAGTTCTTGTTATGTTTGTGTTTTTAGTATCTATTTTAAGGGGAGTGAATTTAATGTTCTAAAACCATGAGACCTCGAAAAAAAAATAGGTTATACTAAAAAATATTTTAAAATTCAACCAAAACAAAAGGAGCCAAAATCTTATTAAGTCAATGTTACGCAAATATGACTTCAATATTGTATTAAACTGGATTCAGACTAAAGTGATTCTTTATTATCCTCTTACATCATCAAAGTAGTAGTATCTGGTAGTATCATTTCTGTTCTAATAAGTGTAGTTCCAGTGCTGAAATTTCCTACAATATAGTATTTATATAGGTATTTATGTAGGCTCTTCTATAATCATGTATTGTGTATTTTTTAAGAGAAAGGTATTTTTTAGAATTATTAGGTTCGAGAATTATCTAGACTTGGTGGTTCAGGAGTAGCACAAAGTACAAGGAAAGTGCTTTATAAGGTTCTGGGCAATGAAATTGCACAAAAATATTGGGGCCAAACAGAAGAGAAGTTTGAAATCATTTTTAGTGGCCAAAAGCAATTTTAGGTATCTGAACTTAAAGATATTTGGTGTTGCAAAGACTGTAATAAGATATATGTTAGACTCCATGAAAGGTCAATTTCAAGAGTCAAAAGAAACCGAAATTATCAATATAATTAAAATATGGCTTGTAAAAACAAAAGAAAGATTAAAAAATACAAAGGTAAGTTGTGCAAATTTATTTGAACAATATAATTTTGCTTATATTATTTCAGATGGGTAGATAAGAGAATATAGAAACATAGACATAGAAGATAATATATATTGTTATATTAAAATAAGTATATTGTTATATTAAAATAAGTATATTGTTATATTAAAATATTTTTAATTAATAAACATATATTACTCAAGTTCGTCTTTATCCTTACCTATTATTTTTAACCGTTCTATTAATTAGTTAATTTTTGATTATTACACACCAAATTATTTAATTTCAGCAAATTGTTTGTAGTGTGTTCCAGATATGAATGTACTGTATAGGTATCCTATAGATTTTAAGAGATAAAAAAATTGCTAAATATGAGAAAAATTGTATCTATCTATAGTTTATAGGATATTGGTACAGTGCATCCTTATACAGGACACCCTGTAGATACAGAATTGAGGGTTGGAATCTTTGGTGTTACAACAGCAAAACAAAACACGTATTCACCACAATATACCAAAACACTTTACTTTTGAACTGGACGCTTGTTTGGTTAATCATGTTAGTAGTGTATGGATTAAAACTTAAATTTTGACCATCTGCTGATGATGCTAACATGGTTAGCGAAACGCGCGTCCTGTGCAAAAGTAAAGTGTTTTGGTGTATTGTGGTAAATTAGTGTTTTATTTTGCCTCTGTAGATAATAAAAAAATATGAAAAACATATGAAAAGCATAAATATAGAATATTAAAAACATGAATATCATATTATTGGAATATTATTTTTAAATGCATTCTTTTACGAACATATAATTCACGTTCATACAATATATCTTGGAATGTGAAAGGCACTTCTATATCACTTGAATAGGGTGGAACGTAATCTCTGCTATTCATGTGCCATATATGTTCCCAATGAAAAAAAGGAATGTGAATAGAACATTGTTGTTCTCCAAAGTCACTTGCTTCGCATATGAAAAGAACGTAAATGTGCTATCTGGGAAGTTTAATTTGGTTAAGAAAGTTTAAGAAAAGTTATAAATTTAAGAAAAAGACATAAAAGAATGTCGAATAACCTAGAAATTCGAAAAAGCAATACAACAATAACAAAATTAAACCTTCGAACAATTTAAAAGTTATCAGCTTATTAACTTAGTCAATTATTGCTTATTTATCTACCGAAATACAGCACAAGAACATTTTTCGATGTGCATTCGTCGGAGCTCATTTTCCCTCTCCCTGCCCTATATCTCTGAGTCGTTCGTTTCAACGTAAAAGCTCAAACTGTTTGAAGAATATATATTTTCCAAATATGTTGTTTCCAAAAATGTGTAGAACTCAAATTAGAGGAGAGAAAAAGGTACTGGTTTCTAGGGTGGCATTAAATCCTGTAAATATACATAGCTTTTGATTTATCAACAAACTATGAAACCATATATGCTACAATTTATTACAAAAAGTTCGTCCTTAAGTCTCGTTAATTTTAAAGCCGTGGGACGCGGATTGAGCCCGACAGAAAACCTGTCAATGATCCCCGATATCGAATAAATATTCCAATAACCGCAAATTAATATTTTAGTCGAATTCTTTCGTGGCTATTCGAATATTAATCAGACGATCGACACTGAATATTCAATCGCAGAAGTTTATGCGGCATATAATACGAATGGAATTTGGCTGTATATATTGATTTGTTAAAATTGAGTATTTTATATCCAAGTCACCGGGGGTGATTTTTCCTATTAGTCACATGATATAGGGCTCTGATGGATACATTTTTAATCACAATTCCCATTTTCATTGATTTTTGTCAATTTGAGTTTATAATTATTGTATTTGTTCTTTATCATGTTCATGATCTTACCTTAAACGCACTTTGTTTCTTATATCAAAGACAAACTCTGTATAACCATCTCATTTTTTATTTACTGCATTCTCTCTTTGGCGTTTTTTATGCGACGTTTCCCTCCAACATAGGCGGCTTTTTCAGGCACAAGTGGTGTCTCATTTGACTGGAAGGTTCATCAATATCTAATAAAGAACACATTTTTTGAAATACAAATAATTTTGAGTTCTTGCCCTTATGATCAAGCCAAGTATTAACCAGATCGGCGTTGCTTATCAATTTTAGTCCATCTGAAAAGTATTATAAAATAAAGTTCGTCGCAAGCAGACGTCGGTGAACTATACAAAAATTAAAAGTGTATGAATATGACAACAAAAAGATTCAATAAATACGATATGTTTTGATATGTTTTTTTTAAATGCCTTTTTGAAGTTTGAAAACGTAAAATTTTTATACCCATTTAAGAATCATCTTAATAAATAAATAAAAACTAAACAATCACGAACTTGTTTAGAAATAAATTTAAAGTACATACTTTGTTTAACAATATCCATAGTGGCTTTCAATTAAGTACGTACCGTTTAACTCCATATACAGAACTACTATAAATGTTATTCTTTTCACTGATACAAGATAATGATCGCAAAATTTATTTTTAGTGAAAATATTTGCTAACAAAAAACGCTGTTTATGAAAATTAATATACTGGATGGTTGAACATTGCTATAAGTATAAAATTACGAATTACCCATTTTCCTCACAGAATCTGCATTTACCGTTATTTTAGCTTCATTGTACTGAGGTGTTCGTTGAGGAGACAGTGTCCTGTTAGAAACCCCGTGACAATCCGAAGATTGTTTTTACTTAAATCAAAGAAAACCTTTGATTTTTCTCAGTCGAAAATCCTAAGCAACTTTTTCGAATGTCGTAGACCGTTGGAGGTAGAGATGAGCAAAACCGCGATTTTCCAATCGCAGTTGAAACTGCGATTGTGATTTGTAAATCGCTGCGACTGTAACCTGCGATTGCGATTTTGATTTTTTAAATTGGTACGCTGTAAACTGGGAAGCTCAATCCCAAAATTTTTGATAAAAAACAGAATAAATAGGGGAATAATTTTTTTTTAATAAAATCTTACAAAGAAACTGTTGGGTGTTTCGATGCCATATGCCTTTTAAAGTGTTTTTTATTATATTTTTGCTCTGCACACATATTGCACTTAAAATTTTCATCAATTACCAAAAAAAAATGTAAAGGATGTATTTAAATTAACATAGCAGCCGATCCACAACTGTTAGTATATTCAGAAAATTATATTATATTATGGATTGTTATAAAAATGTTTATAATAATATAATATACATATAACAAAATATAATAAAGAGAAAGACTGTTTCTTTTTCGTGCTCTATGTCTTCTAGTAAATAAAGGATAAAAATAGATAATTTTTTATAATTTGAATCCAAAACTGTCCTTGAATGAATTATTTTACCTGAATCATTACCTGGGAGTAACTGTAACTATAATTAGTCATAACCGAAAACAAGAATTTTTTAACCTTCTAAATCCATAATTATATTATAAATCTAAAACTATTATCAAAATTTAAAACTAAAAAATTATACATAATATATATTATGCGGTATATAAACATATATAAGCCTATTTTCCAACGCTTCATAAAAATTACGGGGCCCTGATTGCGAATGTGATTTTGCGATCTAGTCTAGGCCGATGTGTTGGGAGCTGCGAACGAAAATCACAATCGCCGCTCTTCGTTGGCGTGCCCACTCCCGATGCGGCGCCGGTGCCAACGAAAATCGCAATCGCAATGCTGGGATGAGCTGCGATTTTCGTTCAGCTCCTCGTTCGCCTGCCCACTGCCGTGTTGATGACGCGCCGCCGCCAGCCGGTGCGTACGAGAATCGCAATATTGCGATTTTCGTTCCCAGCTCATCGTTCGGCTTCTCAGTGCCGTGTCGATGCACCGCCGGTGCAAGCGAAAATCGCAATGCTGTGATTTTCGTTCGCAGCTCTTCGTTCGCGTGCCCACTGCGATTGCAAATCGCAACTGGTGTAATATTGGTTGCCTAAAAATCCAAAATCGGCAGATATATGTTTCAATCGCAAGTCGCAGTTTGTTATGGAAAGGAATCACAGGTTGCGATTGCGAATTTACAATCGCTGCGATTAAATCGCAGTTTGCGATTTTCTGCTCATCTCTAGTTGGAGGACACCAAAGTATCTAACCAGGTTACGGGTGGAGTCTTCCAGATTCTTCAGTTCCGCTTTCAGTTGATTCCCGCTTGGAAAACAAAACGGTTCTGTTCCAGATAGTGGAGTGTTTACGCCTTTTCTAGCTAGATAATTTGCTGTGAAATAAACCGCGGTTTTCATGGGGTTCACTAGTGATGAGCGAAACCGTTATATAAACAGGTACTTGTATATAACAGCTCAAAATAACAGGTTCTTGTTCGACAGATGGACAGATGTAGCTCTTGCCAACCAGTCCCAAAACGCCTCTGCTATCTCAGTTGCTGTGCGATGCCGAGTCGGACAATGGCTTTTTTAAACCTGTTATCGTTGATTTAAAGAATTGGGAAGATACGCAACCTAATGGGCGAATTCGAATTCAAATTCGAATCGCATTTTAAGTAAATGCATAAAAAGTGGACTTGTTGATTATTATACAGGATGGTCCGAATTATATTTAGGATATTGTGGTAATAAAAATAAGTAAAAAGTTTGTATAGATTTGTGTTCTAAGATGCTTCGTTTTGGGGTTACCGGTTGAAGAAGTTTAATTTTTATTTCGAATTTGTCCAAATAATTTCTGAACCGAGGTCGATATTTGGATGAAAATTGGTGACTGGGGTTTATTTTTCACATGTTCATCATCATTGATATGACAACAGTTGCTTGTAGCGACCGATCTTTTTTAATGTCAAAAGACCGATCTTTTTTAATGTCATCTCATGTCAAAAAACACCCAGAAACAAATTTTCATCCCAATATCGAACTTAGTTCAGAAATTATTTGGAAAAAAATTCTCCGTAACGAAGCTTTTAATGAGATAAATCTATACAAACTTTTTACCTATTTTTATCTGCAGAATATATTACTTACTTTATTACAATTACAATG